CACTGCAGAGAAGCACTTCCCATGGCAGTACGTACGCAGCAACGCATTCCTTAGCTTTTGCTCACAACAAAGAAGATTACGAACCTACAAAAAAAAAACACGAAGATGTGAAAGCAGGAGAAAAAGCGAAAAGAACAAAAAAATCGCTAGTTTTTTGCCGAGTAGTTTCGCAAAGTGAATCTCTGCAGTAGTGCATCAATGTACTGGTAAGCATTTCTGTTTCATTTGAGTGCAGAATGCAGGAAGAAAAGCTACTCCAGACTTCCGATGATAGAAGTTAAGCCTACTCCCAGACCAGTAGTTTCGCGAGACAGAAACCCTACTAATTATTTACAAAAAAAATTTCATGGGGAGAAATGCAGTGATAATGCTATCATAGCAGATGCACCCAATATCAAGTTCAAGTAGAATTATGCATATTTCTCACAGTGCAATTTGTTTCTTACAATAAAAAGTTCCATAAACTCTCCTTGCTGCCCACATATTCGCGCAAATCTTCAACCCTATTCTCCAAGGGGGTCCGTAAGTGACAATATCAAAATTTCATTCAATACTCCTTGCTGACTACGAAGAAACCAAATTGGAGCATGAAAACATACCGAGCATTTAAGGAGAAAGAAATGAGCAATATACTGCAAGGCCATTCCTTCACAAACATCGAAACGAGAGATAAAATACAAAAAAAGCTGTCGCTATGGGATTTTATATCTCATCAAAAATTCTGTAAGCATTTCAGACCGTTCAGCACTGTCATATATCAGAACGCTTTAGCATGCCAATGGTAGCTGAAAAAAGGTGAAATAAATGAATTATCTGTTAAAGAGTTTTCAAAAGCCAAACAGTAAAATTTCACTTTTAAGCTCAAATATTCGGTAATTTTACGAGCAAACTATTCTAATAACGTATGCCATTTTTTTTGTTAGACACAAGTTCCTGCTATCGAATCATATCCCAACAAGAAGCCACGATCTAGCAAAGTATGTGCTTGGGATTCTTTGCTTACTATGGTGTAGCTAACGCACCGGAAAATCATGACAAGGTTATCCCGCTTGGAGATGAAAGTATACAAAATACCGCTCAGAACTGCTTCAGGGATCTAGAACTTGCCCAGTGAGCTGCATGGCAGATAAGAGAAGATAACGACGAGCAAGTCTTCCTCTCCACGAGTAGTATTTGTTCTACATAAAAATGCCTTACGCATGCCTGCCCACCAAATTCAACTATTTGAGATTTCTAGCATAATCCACCTTTGACTGAAACGAGCAATGACAAGTAGCATTTCGAGACTTACAATGATTAGATCGAAATCTTCCGATGACGACTGACAAGATGAAGATAATTATGAAATGCATACCCCTGAGACGTAAAGGTAGGTTTAAAGACGGTTTCCAACCACGACCGAAGAGATGCTGGATGTTGCAATGCATTATAATCAAATTTTGCTGGCATTCAAGAAAATATTGATGAGCTCATCAAGTATTAACGACATGTGACGATATTTTGCAAGTGAAAGAAGTAAGCCATCAAAGGAATTTCCAAAAGAACGTGTCAACAAGCCATAGAAACAAGAACAATGGAAAAGAAGAAATTGCCTACCTCAGTAAGAAGAAAGAATGTTGTGACGCAAGACGTTTCCTGTGACTTGAAGACTATCAAATGAAAAAACAGGTAACCCGAATGACATCAAATTGTTACCTACAACGCGCACCTGCACGATCCCATATCAACTTTTACTGCGGTAGAATCCGCAGGCTGTCATTCATATGCCACTCAAAACGCCAATTGAGTGAGTAAATCTTTGGGGGAAAGTAGGTGTGCAAATACTGGGAGAAGTATCGGACGCAATGAAAAACGAGAGCCTAGGGAGGAAACTGGATCAGTTAAGCTAGGCAAATGCTAGGTAAACTTTGAGGAGTACATTAACGGAGCAGGAAGAGTGTGCAGGCAGAAGAGAGTGAGTTGACTGAGACTCTCGAAACATCACTGAACACAATCCCATTAAATGTATTGAAAATGAAAGACAGCAGAAGTGAAAACATGTGTGCACATATCGAGAATCATAAAGAACTGGAACCACTCGTAAAACGGAGTAAATGATATTCTGTCCTATGGAGGCAGATGAAGCATATATTTCAGCTTCAAAGCCCCTAACTTGATACAAAGTATGTTAGTTCAGTCATAACGAATGGTTCGTTTAAAACAGGGAATTCTAGAGCAACAAAAAATTGCAAAAAAGCTCAACCACTGCTTGAGTATGCATCTTTTGTAACGCAGAGAAAACGAACATCAAACAAACCGATCTTGAATACTGATGGATCTAATCAGAGTCGAAGAATTCTTTGCTGATATGTGCAATTGCACATTTTCCAGGATGTCGGCAATGGAACGCAAGTAAAAAGATAAAAAGCAAAAAGTGGGAAAAATACTAAACATGTAACCGCTTACGCTTCTTAAATTAATAGTAAATAATAAATAAATAACAATGTCAGATATCAAAGAAATCCGAACAAAAGAAAAAAAGCAATACCCGAATCCAATCCTAACATGGAAATTGTGCAAATGCACACTTCTGCTAGCCTATTCGACTGAAAATTTACGCACCATGAATTAGCTAAATTGAGTAATAATGTCCATATCGACAAGAAGCAGAACTCGCTCAGATAGATTAAAGCCTACAGGAGGAAATATATTATAGGAAACGTTAAAAGAGCGATGCAGAGAAATAGAGTTCGAGTCAAACATCATCGTTGGATATGTATGTAGTCTTGAGAAGTGCACTCAAACACTTAAACTAGTTCACACCACGTACTCAACGAAAAAACAAAACATCGCCAGCACAATCGACAGAGTTTCAGCCGCGGTCGGATGTAAAATCGATACATTGTAGGATCGCATACAGGGAAGAGTCCGTTCGGATTGTATACGAATTAAACGGATCGTGATGTATAAATAAGCAAAGTTCAAAGAAGACTGTACGCGTATCGATGAGACAAGATCTATTTGCTGTGCCGATGTGCACCTATAGCCGGATAAAGAATCAAAGTTTGTTTAAGATGTCTGATAGGCCAAGATCATGCGCTATCGAGTGTCTTCAGGGCTCAAACAACAAACACAAGCAGGCGCGATGAAGCCCTAAGAATCATCGATTATAACGCAAGCAGACCCGAATACACACAATCAATTCGAATCAAAACGAGTGTCGTGTTCGCGAGTGAATAGCGACACCACGTCAGTGTGGAAGAAGTGCAACGATGATCAGTCAAATAAAACCTGTACATCAAAAAATATCGGAGACAATTTTTGCGAAGAAAGATAAGATTTGGAGATTAGATGGTTACAGAAAGTTGAGCAAATGCAAACTGCGCAGTAAAAAAGAATGACAGAAAGTACGAACCAATTTGCTTGCTATGTCAACTGATGCGAAATCAGCTGTTTCTTTTTCATCCACACAGCCCTCAGAGGTGTTTCGAACTTTAAGGTAATAGAGACACAGCTAACCATTTAAGATGGTTGCACACTTTAGGTAATAAAATTTCTAGATCGTTGTAACCAAATGACGCCAGACGTTTTTTCTCAAAGTCAAAATGATTCCGGAACATTCCCCACTAAATGGATAAAATGAACAGCATAATAGCAGAATCAAAGCAAAAGAGAAAGTAAATTCACTTTAGGGCACAACCACCCACCTATCAAACCCACATCTAGTCAATGAGTAAGTCGCATAAATAGCATAAAGGGTATAGGTTCATGACTCGCAGTTGCGAATTATATGAATCATGATGACATAAAAGGAAAACATAGCAGTGAACCAAGAAACACATGTGTTTGACGAATTTCTAGATAAAGTTCATCCTATGAAGAAATACAAAACGTGGAAAGCTGAGTTACTGCTTGAAAATGGGAAACTGCCCGCGATCGCATGAGATGGGGAAGGTATAGAAAAAATAACAAATAAAGTGAAATTTAAGAGCTGAATGAGGAAATGACTGTGTTAACCAAATCAATGACCTGTGTTCACACTGGCAGAGAAGAGCTATGATGAGTCATTCTGTGGTCGTATGTACTTGCGCCAAGTCCTCGCTTTGTCAACGAATGAAAGTAAAAGGGGTCAAGTGATGAATATCCGCCACGAGTTCTATTTTCCAATGAAAAGAATTACAACAGTCAGAATATTTCCAGTAGCCGAAGAAGGCAAAATAGAATAATAACACTATAACAGCAGCTTACCGAGAAGGTCAATCGACAATACTGGCCGCGCAATAACAAAACACCCCAAAGCAAACAAAGCGTTCGATCGCCAACTGAATGCGCTCACATCTGTACTGTATAAACGTACTATTCTTAGTCGCTCATTGTCAGTTGGAGACCAGTGCATGGGCGAAGTACTCAAGTCAAGGTGAAAAGAAAACGGAAGGATGAGATCAATCAAGATAAAGAAAAGCTTACGAAAGGAAGGAAAATCTAGCAAAAATTCAGATAAGCAACCAGATACGGTGAGAGTATGAGAGTACGGTGGGAAAAGGTTACGAAAGGAAGGAAAATCTAGCAAAAATTCAAATAAGCGACCAGATACGGTGAGAGTATTAGAATCAGCAGCGATTCAAAGACATAATTCTTGTCTTCCCTTGTCGTATAACGACAAGGAAAGACAAGAATTTTTCAGAAAACTGCAGAATCATGCAATACTGATGAATCACTGAGAAATTGGTCAAAGAGAAATTATATGCACAAGCCAGGCTGTGAAGACAATGACAGTGACTACATATTGCCGCCGTTTTCATAAGAAAAACAGAGCCACTTCAACAGCGAACATGTGCAATTGGGCTAGGTCCACATACCTATCCGATGAAGAAGATAATTCGTTTTTTCGAGACAAAGACCAAGCAAAAAAGACTCAGTACTATGATATCAGAAAGCTGCTGGATCAGTCTCTTCGCCAAAACAGGTACATGATACATATGAATGTAATCAACAATAATAAATGAAAGAGCGGAACTCACACGGGCTTCCCATCGACAGTGTACTCCTGTGCAACGACTAGGTTGCTCATCGGAATCAAGCGAGCGATAACTAAATGATTTTTTTAAGATTCGAATACGAAAAATTGCCATATAGATTATGCATACAGTGGGCATCTGTCCTTACTACAAAGGACACCGTTACAGCAACAAGCAACATAAGAACATTATGAACTTATGATAATTCACCCACAACAAATTACCAACTTCGAGAGAGTTCCATTTGCGGGCGATAGACTCATGAATATGATTCACTGAGAACGTTTTGGGATAGATATGCTGCCACACAAACCAATAAATGAATCGATAAAGGTGAAGAAAAATTCATTTCGTATTCACCTCATAGAAAAGTTTAGTCGCATCATCGCTTTTCAGCTCAGTTCATTCATCAACGATCGCTAAGCTATTCAAAAAAAGGATGAGCGAAAAAAGCAGAACTTGCGACTATGGTAAGCGTTTAGAACAAATTATCCCGCATTCAAGTTAAAATAGTACAGAATTACCTCACACAGCTAGATGAGCCATGACATGCTCAAAAAACAAAACTAATTCAGATAAGTGGTTTTGGCAATGGAAGTAGTAAAAAGGCGTGGCTACGCCTGCAAAAGCTTTTCCATTCACTCTTGATAAACAGACGGGAAGCTTTATTTTCAGAAAAGAAGAAGAAAACGATACAAGCAAGATGTAGAAGTTGGTCTCTGTGCATTCATTAACATGAAAACCGTATTTTGACATTCAAGTTGTGCTTTTCAAATTTCTTTCATTTGGAGACGGATAAGATTAACTTTTAATCACTAGAGCAAAAATTTGATACAAAGTGAAGAAAAAGATAGACGCCACTAAAGCAAAAAGCAAAACGGAAGTTAAATATCTCACCTTAACCTAGAATATTTCTATGCTTGTTCCTGCAGCATTCAACTGAACATCGCGATTATAAAGTTACCTGAAAAAAATAGTTGTGAATGTTAGATTGTGGCAGTGACGAATTTGCATAAATTATTACAAACATTAGCGACAACACTTTGTTTTTTGCAGAAATGAGTCCAAAAGGTGGAGTCAAAGTAAGAGAAAAATATGAGCGTTAAATCGGCGAGATCTAGCAGCGCAGACGATGTACGACGCCCATAACGTGTCACATCACCTACGCCCCATCGACGACTTAGAGAGCACGGTGAGCGAGCGAGCGCAGACTGTGGTAATGAGTGTCTACAAGACGATCTGGCCGACGCTGTGATTTTCGGCTTTCGATTTTCCATTCCAGTGAAGAATGAAAATGAGAATCTTTAGTGCGAGAAGTAGTTATTCATTGCCAGGGTGAATCAAAAGAGGCCGTCTATGAACCGGCTTTGCCCTTGCACGTTATATCACATCGCGCATATCAATAAGATAGTGTTAGAATAAGTGTGATTCTATTCATAGACTCTTGTTGGGATTGAAGCGCGCTTTCGCTCATAAACCTTCTATCTACAAAGAAGCAGAGCTCAGAAATGCGTATATGTACTTAACTAGAGATCTTCAGTTGTAGTAGAGTTGAAGGTTGATATAATGTTCCTTAACTGCCGTTATATGCTTAAAAAAGAGCCCTGAGGCACAAAACTTGTGGTGCCTCTATGGGCTTTCCTACGCGCACGTCTTGTAAGCACCGCGGGAGAACTGCGCGGGAGTAAAGTTTAACGCAAAAAATATGTAATGTTACTTTCCAGAGGAATGTAAATGCTGAATGGTCGGCAACTACTGAGGAAAGATTCAGTAGGTTCCTCGAAATTACAAAATTACTCTTGAAGATTCCTCCACAAATAATCATCCTTCATAACACAGTGAGACCAAAATGTTACCAAAAATGTAATCCTCACATAACAAACATTCATGTAAGGAATTCTCGAATTTCAGGCCGATTCTCGAATTCAAATCCTATTCATTCCAAAGAATTTATAGAATTCATAAAAAAGCCAGAAATCGCTTGTTTATGGCTCCTTCAGATTACAGAGCGACTGCCGATAACTGATTGCCATTACGGATTCCCGAGTTAAGCCTCATTATGAAAGCATAGTTTCAGTGTCAGCACATCAAAAAGATTCAGCCAGGAGCTGGATGTGCTGAACCCACGATTTTAGAGCTTATGAAATGTTGGAAAGTTACTTATTCGGGAATTTTTCGACTTGAAGACTGCCGAGTAATGTGAAAGCATAGTTTCAGAACCAGCGCACTAGGAAGATCCAGGAGTAATGAAAAAAGTAGGAGATTGAGACGCTGCGTTTCACGGCTTTTCTCAATGCATTGATATAGGTTCCTTTAGAATCAATCGGATAGTAATCCATCTTCGCCACCGCCTCTTCAACTGCAAGGTCTATCACGGCAAAAATTCCGAACAAAACTGGAGTTTATGTTTAGGTGTTATATAGCTCTGGCGGCCAGCAATACGATGCTACTTCAATTGCGATGATGTTCTCAGCAGACATCAACTCTTGTGTTTTCTTCTATTTGATTTGTAAGGATTTAGCTGGACTGCATCCTCCCCCCTTCAAGATGGAGGTTTCTTAGGACAGCCAACCTCTGGCAGTGACCCAATATTGCCTCTGCTACCTCTTCCCCCCCCCCCTCTCTCTTTTCCTCCAATGTAAGAGATATCAGTAAATGATTATAAAGTCATTTCCGCACACCAAGGGACGCGCGAACCTAAGTCCAGACTAAATCATGTTACAGTCCTATGTCTCTACTAGCGCTTGGCAATACGAGATCTAGCTAGAAACAAAACAAGTTGAAAACAAAAGTACCTTGAGCATCAATTTCTATTTTAGAGGAAAACGTCATGGTCTGTAAGGAAACGGGATTCCGGTTTTTGCATAAGATGAACAATTCTACTTTCATTTCACTTCACCGCTATCAGTAATGACAGTTTTATGATGACAGCTGTGCAAATAATTCACTGTCGTACAAAGCAGTGTTTCGCGCAAAGCCAGGGCAGACTAGGTCGCGCCAAGGCTCTTAGATCGGTGTTTTGTGACCTTATAATCACAGAACATGATGGATTCATGACATTTTTCTATGCATCTCTATAGTAAAACTAAGTAAAAAAGCAAGCGCTAAGAAATGTTAATAAAGAACATGCGAAAAAGTAAACCTATAGTCTTTGATGAAGAAGAGAAGAAGAGCGTGGAGCCTTACTCAATTTCAAGAGAAGTGAGATAGCGCACCTGCTAAACATCCACACAAAAGCGAGCGACCATAAACTGAGATAGCTTATCAGCCGAAAAGATGCTGCGTCCTGGATGACTACAGTAAAAGCTGCGGAAAAAAGTCTCTCCTCAGATCGTCCAGACAGTTACGATGTACGCCTCCAACTGTAGTCGGAACGAGGTTTACTGCAAAAGGGTCAGACATACATGTCACGACTTCATCGCCTTGGGAGTCGTCCGACAACGCAACTGTTAGGCCCCGGACAGGCTTCACGCGACTCAATCGTCGCGATCTAATCGCCAAGATTTCCATTCATTTTCATTTCACATTCAAAAATTTCGGTCTGGAAAAGTATCACAACCGAATGCAAGTTGATCGGCATGGAATGATGTTGTAACATTGTCTCGTCGCGATTCAGTCGCGACGATCAAATCGCGTGAAGTCTGCCGGGCCTTGCGAGTCCATCGCATGCCGAACATCTTGCAATTCGGTTGTAGTAGTTAGTCGCGGTGAATCCAGTCGCAAATCCATCTCTTACCGAAAAACAACATGATCGGCATGCAATGGATCGTAACAATTGTCTTCGGAAATCGGGAGGCGATGAAATGGCGAGATGTGTGCCCAACAGTTGACAATTATGGTAGTCCAGATACAACAAACACAGTCTGATTACAAGGCGTTTTCTAGACCGCAGAAACGAAGTGAGGGAAGGATATGGTCTCTAGTACTATTTAAAGCCATGAGTGCAAGTGATTGTATCCACGACAGCTCAAGACCTAACGCGTACTTGGGCGGCACGACGGAATTCCATTCTAGGTACGCATACTGTATAGGAGAACGACAGAAATAATCAACTAAAAGACCATGGGTTCAGATCAACACAGCAATAGTAATGGAAAAGAAAGTGACCACTGGCGCTGGACATGCTGCCTAGTCCAATATTTATCGTAAACTTGAAAATATCGTGCAACGAGATCAAGATCTACATTTGCATTTTGAGTAGAGGACCAAATTATGAGCAAATTCAACACAAAGAATTCACAGACAAAAACCGGGACCATACAAAGGTTAAGTAAGGGCAGGGCATAAATGGATAAAGCACAAAAACACGTCATAATAAGTAGTGAAGGGTAACCCATATATGCAATAAACTAAATAGTGGTTCACTTTCATCCAAGAAAATCCGGCTTCTCCGCTTCTCCATACAGATCTATCAATTCCTGTACTCTTTCCGCGGCACTGTCCATCATATCAACGGAAAATCCTTCCTAAAAATTTCGCTCAAAAGTCAGGAATTCCAGTGACCAAACAACGAACCTCTTTTTGGAACCTGTCTATAAACGCATTTTTGCTTCGAAGCCGAGCAAATTGTTGAAGAATACGTTCAAACAACGGAGCAATGCTAGTGTTGTTATTCAACATAAGACCAGACACCTGAAAATAGGTGAAGCGCTCCATCTATAAATACGAGCACCAGATAGTATGAAGAATAGGTTCACTTTGTACTGAGGCTTGATGTATGGAGAAGAAGGTGTGTGCAAAATCCGCAAAGGATTTGTGAAGTCCCATGGGGCTCGACGAATTGCATTTATGGAGTGCTAAAAGCATGAAAGAGGTCAGCTGATATTCCAAAGAAGATAAGGAAAATTTAAGAACATACATTCTCTGACAAGCACACTGTGTTCACATCAGTAGAAGAGATTTGACCTTGGAGGAAAAGGTAAGCCGAAAGCATACAATGGTTCGGTTTGGTCATACTTGCAGTCGAGACCTGGATTGTGAATGATAGCAGGCAAAATAACAAAACGGAAGTATTACCATCATAGATGAGGGCTTCAAGAGATTGCGTACCACATCGGCAACTGAAGTCTTCCTAGTAAACGACTCATTTGGATCAACAACTGGCGAGAAACCTAAATGGATAAATTATAACTTAAGCTAAAAGTGTTTTTGGAAGTACAAAGTTATCGAGTCTAGCGTGCTAGTGTGCTAGCGGAGCTAATGATAGCTCTGTCCAACAATGTGGAGAGCAAAGGAATATGGTGAATTTTTGCAGCTTGAAACAAATACGAAATCGAATATACAATGATTAAACAAAACTGTTGGGATATCTCGAACACAAGGGGTAACTTGCCTGCTTGGATAAAGTGAAGGGGTTGCATTGGCGATATGCACAGCGAACGTATCGATGTCAAAACGTGTGAATCAAATCTAAATGTTGCTGTGGCTGTGGACATAATCCGAACAACCTAAATTGATAGTTGATAAGCATAGAAAGTTGTATACATTTGAAATTTCAGCCTACCAAGGAATTGATATGATCAAAAGTCGGTTGCTGGGTTTCAAACTTCCCAGCTGCCAGTCTATTCAGCGCTGCATTATCGATGACCACAACATGGTCTGAAATATCCACATAAACTACTATTAAAAAAAAGCAGAGATGAGAACTATGAGAAAATACTCGATAAAAAACCGAAAACTATGAGACGGGAAAGAGGTCGTGGGGACGGAATCTGAGATGACTTATGAGCAACTCTGTCAGCAACAAAATGCATTAAAACTGCAGAATTCTCTAAATTACCTGGATAATCAATTAGTCGTTCCATTGCAAGTACAGAATTATAGGGATGAACAATGACATCACTCGTATCGCCATGGTTGGCAAAGACCGAGAATGTCAGGATGATTTTCTTCGGAAACCTACAATCGGCGGATAAACTTGCGAATCAGAAGTATGAACTGCTACCTATCGCGTATCTTCTCCAATATAACTGAACCCATTCCTGACCCAGTGCCACCTGAGACAGAATGTGTAAACAGAAATCCATTCATCTGATCACTGTTCTCTGACTCGCGCTCGATGATGTCCAAAATTTGCTCGTAAACTTCCCTAAAAAATCCAAGTTGGTTAGATAGAAATCATCCCACTGCCTCACGTACCCTCCCTGCCCATAACCGCTCGCCCAGTTGTTACCTGCACCACCACCATGGGTTGACATGTAGACGTTATCGGGGTTGAAGAGTCTACTGAAGTTCTCACTCGCCATGATACCATTGATGACTCTTGGTTCAAGATCGACCAAAACTGCACGGGGAACGTAATGGTCGTCATCAGCCTAAAGCAATGATACCTATGCAAACACAGGAAGACGATCTTAGGTAACATGACTTTCAATGTTATTACTTCCCGTATCCCTTCTACGACACTGCCCGATTTGTTTGTACGTTAAGCTCCCTGACGGTAGAAGTCTCATAGCATATACTATTCGCAAATAACTCTCGTACATATCGGTTATATGCTATATATGACTCTTTTGGGGTGGGTATATCGACCCTAGGAAGCGTTCAAATAGATAAGAAAACACATGTTTTACTTTACTGTGCTAAAATCACCACTTTAAAACGATCAGACCTTATTAAACTTATAGGACAGTCAGGCCAAATTTCGTCAAAAACCAAAGGAAGAGTGCCAAAGTTTTTATAATGAGTGGTTCCGAGCAGGGAATCCGCTATTTTTTGGAAGTGCTTAAAGGCAGTAGATCGGCAGAATGAGACCCGTGACAAAACAAGGTCACAGCATAGGAGCCCCCATATGGAACCTATGGGCCAAAGTCCGACCTTTTTCTGCCACTTCTAACCCCTGAAATTTCAAAGCGAAAGCAGCGCTCATCTCCTGTCCTCTCCGAACCCGCCCATCCCATGGACGACTGAACGCAAGCCCGTCATGGCGAAGACGCAGAGTCGTTGCGGGACTCATGCTTATAGCATTGCGGCTGGCGCTCTGACCGCGGAAATCACTCGTCCATGGGGTGGGCGGGTTCGGAGAGGACAGGAGATGAGCGCTGCTTTCGCTTTGAAATTTTGGGGGTTAGAAGTGGCAGAGAAGGATCGGACTTTGGCCGATAGGTTCCATTTGGGGCTCCTACCCTGTGACCTTGTTTTGTCACGGGTCTCATTCTGCCGACTGGCAGCGTCCACGCAGATCTGGACCTACGAGGATTTTATGTGAAGAGTACTTTTGGGGCCCTAACTAAGGCACTGCTCAAGTGGCAGCGCAGGTAGTGCTTTAATGGCTGAGATATCCCCCTCGAAACTGGACCCCGCGATCGTATTCGCATGGATTCATGGCAATTTCGCGCGGGGACACACGCATTGCGCCATGAATCCATGCGAAATGCGATCGCGGGGTCAAGTTTAGAGGGGAATATCAGCCGTTAGAGCACTACCTGAGCTGCCGGTTGGGCATTGGCCTAGTTAGGGCCCCAAAATTTCTATCCACGTGAGATCCCCATGTGTCCAGACTTGCCCGGACGCTGCCTTTAAAGGCAGTGCTCAGCAAAATGGAATTTTGCCAGATATTGGTAGCGTTAGGGACGGCCATAGGTTCGCAGTGTTCGCGGTGGAATAGTATGGCATAGTATAGTAATAGTATCATAGTATCATAATAGTACAGTATCGACTAGTATCATCTGAAATAGTATCTCCGATCCCGATAACACCGACAACACCGCGTACGCCACGAACACCGCGAACATTGCGAACACCGCGAACACCGCGAACACTGCAAACCTATGGCCGTTCCCTTAGGTAGTAAACACCCCAGAACACCATAGCCACAGCCCCGCCCTCCAGTTCATTTTCAAAACCATCGACATCCACTCAATGGAAATGGCGGCGTCGGTGTTTTGAAGCGGTTTTCAGGACTTAGCGAATCGGAGGGTGAGGCAGTGCTATGATGTGCTTGGCCCTACTACCTAATACCACCAATATCTGGCAGGGATACATTTTGCCAAGCCTTTGATTTTGAGTGAAAGTGATAAATTATCAAAACTGAACGTTAATCATCTGCATGTACCGAAAGTTTTGGATGTTCATTGCATTCCTAACCTGATAAAAAAATACATCTTTGTCGTCGAGAAGACTTTCTTCACAGGTCATACGCCCTCTTCTGTAATGCAACCTCTGTCTTACTAAACAAACATATTTGCGAGCAACATTTTGCACTTCGCAAACTAACCCATCGATTGCATGCTCATCACAAAGAGTTTTCCAGAAACTTTGTCCGATCTGATTACCACATTGTCCAACATGTATGGACATCAATTGTCCTCGTGCATGGGACATCTACAATGAACTTTTCAACGATGTATCGCAATTTCAACAGCTCAAATATTGGCGAACCTTCACGACTATGTATGAACAGTATGAACAAGCCAGTGATTAAACTTTATACATGACAGAGAACCAGAGCTATTCGAAGATAACAATGAACAACAGACAAAATCAACAAAAACAACAACTATCGTATCAACTCTTACTCTTTTCCGTATAGTTTTGGTAGCTCGTCTCAAACTTCTCGCGTATTGTAGCGAATACCTAAAACAATGTACCGCAGGCTGAGAAAATGGTTAACTGGAGTGAACTACCGTTTCCAAATGCGTCAGGGCTTCTAATAGAACAGGTCCAGCAGGAACACCTTCCCTGGTTTGTAACCGCAGTAAAATCTTGTCCTCAAGCGGATGTGGTACATTATATCCACAAAATTCAACATTTTTCCTGTAAAAAAGTGTGAAAGAAGCAGAGCATTTCCGACTTTGGAAGAAGCAGTAACGAAAAATTGAGGACTTTCCGACCACACAAGTCACCTTTTGAGGATGGATACAATCAAGCTTTTAGCCTACATACGTCACCACATACCCTGATCTAGCTTACAACCAAAGCAGAAAGTCCTGAGCAAATGATAAAATTTTTCTCCAGTGCAAAAAAACAATGGCTTGCAAAAAAATCATCACGGAAGAAGCCATTCAAGAGAACACAAACTAATCCTGTGTAGGTCTTATAATCCTCGAGACCAGATAGCAATAAAAATCAATTTGGATACCATCAAGACTGAAAAACTAAAAAAGTAAATACTCACATTCGACAGAGTATATGTTTCAGAGAGTTACCAATAGTATGATCCTCTTCACGAAGAGCTAGTGTTAAACATGTGGGGTCTGCCGCAAAACCTTCGGGATCGAGCTAAACAAATGACGCAATATTCTCTGGTCCCACCAGATGTTAAACCTCAACAGACTCACAATTTCGATCTTAGGCTTGTCCATCGATGAAAACATGGGACGACTAGTACCTAAACATTACAGCAACTGATGGATGGGCATATTTGAAGAGTCCATCATAGGGCAGCTCGGTCCAGTCTCCGATAGCAACCCGTTGATGAACTGCTCAAACGCGCCTCAACTTCTGACGTTTTGAGCAGTACAGAAACCAACGCAGCATACAGCTAGGCTTATGCCAGCGAGATGGGCGATTTTATATGGGCCATCGCATCAACAGTAAACTATGAAGGAAAGATCTCATTTCATCGCGCATCGGATGTCACTGTCACTCAAACTGTCTCTCACAATAAACGTAAACAAGAACTGTTTGAACCATAATGCGGAATTTCCACGAAAGGCGCTAACTTCCTTTGGGAGACTAAGGAAAACTTTCAGCTACGAATCGAAAGATAGTTCGATGGTAGACAAGGATGAGGGGAGAGCTCAAAAGTCTACTAGCCGCCTCATCATGAGTAAAAGCTACATACAGTATACATTCATCTCTGGGTAAAAGTTCTGCCAACTTACTAAGTCAAGCGAAACACAGAAACCAATTGCTCTGCTCAAGAGCTCTAATAGCTCACGTAATTGAGCTATTAGAGCTCTTGAGCAGAGCACACCTTTACGGAAATCAGATTCGACTGTATCGGTAGTCAGGTAATAAGACCGCAATGTTTGAACGATGTAACTCCATACAACGCAATCGAATTTGTAAATGTTTATCCAATGGGCACATTGAAAACACAAACAATGTGACGAATTGGGATGGAAGGACGAAAAACCGGTGCAGCGCATGCAAAAACATCACACAATTATATGTCAAAGAAACAAAAAAAACTTTTTTTTCACCAGAAACCACAAATTAATTCCATATACCATCCACTTTTCAAAAAAAAATATTTTTATGACCGTAAAATTATGGAGCATGTGCAAGAGACGAGAAAATAATACACATCATTCATAAACTTAGTGGGTTTCTGGTTATTTCTCATAACATTGTCATACATCATTCTTCCTGGCTTTTGCGAACGCAAGCGGCCACTCGCTTTTTGAACTCTGGATAGTTTTCCCGCTGCATTTTCTGAAGTGCGAAATTGAAAATTGAAAACGAGGAGCATATCAGGTCTTTCCGATTGTCACATTATTCGATTCGTAACTTCCTGCCTCCATAGATCTATTTTATGAATAAGGATGAAGGATTCGGCGTCTTGAATACCCTCCGCGGGCATGCGCCGAACGCACACTACTTCATAGTCGGAGGCAATGTATGCGTGCGAGCCTTTACAATGGACTTGTGGGGGCCAGCCGTTTACCAAGTAAGTGCTTTTATCCTCCCAGATTACTCTGGTACCAATTTACCGCCCCCGGAGGGTAGAGGACTTGGTTGCCCCAGAGGCGGGGATCGAACTTGCATCCGATCTGGTCATAGCTGGCCTCATACCACACGCCACTCGTCCCCCGACCTACTTCATAATCTCGTTGCATACAGGAATAATAACTTTACCGAACGACTCTTGACTGTTTTCTGCCAAAAACAAGTTTCAAAGATGAAAAAGAAGGAAGAACACCACTCGAACTACGAACATACCACGTATGTTCACCTAAAATCTAAGACGCTGCTTCAGGCTGCTAGGAACAGAAGTTTTGTAAGTACTACTGGCTCAATGATGTTTGCATCGAATTGCTCGCGAAGAGTTACGATCTTCGAACAACAAAAACACTGAGGGCCGCATGCACTAACATTTCCGCTGGGGAGGGGATCGCAGCTTGAGAAGAAAGCTTCATATACTGAAGCTCCGGATATCTGGATTTCACGCTGTCTACCTGCCCGTAAGTACTCCCACCATCCTTCACTATGAACATATTGAGCAGAAGCGAGAAGCTGTACAAGCCGCATTTTCCAGCTTTTTGTAGGATCCCCTGACGATCCCTGGGGGACGAACATCTATTCTTCAAAATCATTTTTCTTTCTCCGAAGTTAACGAAAACCTTCCAAAGTTATACTGAACATCTAATACAACAGTGCTAAGCATGTTGCTGATGAGAACAAATGAATTTCTGAAAAATCGAATTTTTCGGTATACCCCAAATTTCGACCTGTGGACCATCGAAAATTTCATGACTTCAAAACATCATCTGTTCTCATCAGCAACATGCTTAGCACTGTCGTGTTAGATGTTCAGTACAACTTTAAAAGATTTTCGTTAACTTCGAAGAAAGAAAAATGACTCCAAAGAAAAGCGCCGGGGATCATCAGGGATCATACAAAAGCTGGAAAGTGCGGTTTGTACAGCTTCTCGCTCCTGTTCAACATGTTCATAGTGAAGGATAGTAGGAATACTTACGGATAGGTAAACAACGTGAAATCCAAGTATCTGGAGTTTCGAAATATGAAGCTTTCTTTTTAGCTGCGATCCCCTCCCCGCGGCCATGTTAGTGCATGCGGCCCTGAAACTTTTTTTGGCACAAAGACGACTTTTACTTTGATCCGACCTCCAAAAGTTTAATTAGAAAAGAGAAATAACAAACTGCAGTTTCGACTTTTGTCGACTTTCAAAGCTTGAGTGTTGTTCTCACCTATATCTTTACAAGTGCTTTGTAGCTACCACTGCTATCGGAGAAAATCTAAAGGAAACCATTTCTTTTGTAATAGTTTGATCCTGAGCAAAGTTATTGAGACCGCAGGAAGTTACGAAGAGGGCGCAACTTTCGGAAGGACCTAATATGGAGTATAGCCTGAAATCCTACCGCAGCATCGACATTTGCAGGAGACTCGAAGTTGGGATCAGCAAGCATGGAGATAACAGAAAGCAAGATTGTCTCAACTGTATGCACTGGCAACCAGCGCTCCTCTGGTCGTTCATAACCCCATCTAAACCACATCGAATCAATACGGAATCGTTCTATGAAAAGCTAATGTTCAAATGGATAATTATCAATAAAACAAAATTCATAGCGCCAAAGCCAAGAAAAAGGCAGATAATGCCTGGCGAACATAGATAACGCAAACTTGAGAATACATTGGAAACTCACTTGTCGTCTCCAGGATCATGCAGAATAGAAATGCAAACATGACCATCCTTATCAACTGAAAAAAATAGTAAAATCATCAAGGTCTAATAGTTGGTACAGAACAGAAATGCACTTACTGTTTGGATGCCAGATCTCGGATACAAACCTCATCTTTGGTGGTTTCTGAGGATAGTCCTTGGGAAAATCTAATATTGCCTTGAAAAATCCGCCTTCGCTGTAAAAGAAAGGATTTCACACAGTCAGCCGTGCAAGATACACGAGATCAAAAAAAAATCTACTTATGATTAGCCAAGCAATAGAAGGATCATGCAGGGGATTGATTATTAGGATCTGCGTTAAACCAACATAGCTCAAAAAAGAATTACGGAAGTCTATTCAACTACATAGAAGATGAAAGACATGGAACCGTGCTTAGAAACAAGCTCGTTATGGTTTTTTCATAATCAGGATGCGAGAAATTTTCGCTCAAACTTTTGATTTAGGCAGAAAAGTGCAGCTGAAGAAACAGAGGCTTTGTAGATAGGCACTTCAAGCAAAAAAAAAACGCGGTCTAGCTGAACCACATTTACAGAATCATACAAATGCGGCAATGGAAGAACCAAACATAGCAATGGCAAAACAATATATCACATGAAAAACAAAACTAAAACTTACTAAAGGGTGTCCGGTGGACCGATGACAAGAACTTCCCACTTGTAAATGTCGTCATCGTTTACTAGTCCTGCCGAAAATCCCTCCACAGGCAATCGTCTCAGCTCTGGAAGTCAAAAAGATTATTGCCATTCACATGTGACATCTATCCGGGAAAAAGAAGTTAAAAAGATTTAGATTCTGGAGATTTGGTTCGCATCAGAACTCAGTGACCCAATTCAGATTTGTCAAACGTCTCGAAAAACAGGAAGAGACCAGATTCGATTACGTCATGCTTCTTCATTATTCATCATAAGTTTTATTGTACAAGGCGATGCTGCGTAAGAATTGACGCTGGTTTGCATATGCTTTTTGCTATGTTCAAATAGTGCATCAAGCGCACACCACTGCAACCTTTCCACAAACTTTATGTTTGCAGAACGAAAGCAATGGCACTGAAGCTTGAAGATAAGTATACCGTTGTGCAATCAACTGCATGCACTCAGTTTTAAATGTTCATTTATTTTCGCTTCTTCTTCCAGTTACCCGTATATCAACCATACTGCAGTAAGCGTTTACAGACTGTCAGCATCGATAACTAAGCTAAAGAATTATCGTCGATTCGTGGCATAATTAACCTTCCCACAGACAATGGGACACTTCCTCGCACACCGAGCGATCATCAACTACGAAAGAACATTCACTGTTACAAAACATGTAAATGCAGCTATTATTCATCACTACTTCTCGCGGTGAGAAAGCATGCACGAGGCGGCAATAAACTGCTTGGTCATACATCAATAGCAGGTTGACCTGGTTCGAATCCAAAAGATAGGTCACACACTCATTATTTCCTTGCTAAAGACCTCACCCCGTTATAGAAAAATATGTATACGATGAAGCAAGCCGGAAAAAGAAATTAAGACAGTAATCAATAACTCAACTAATCACAAAGCGTGAGAAAAATTAATATGGCAGAAGTGCACTGCTGTTATCGAGCAGCTCGTGTTTTAGAATATCACCAATTTCGAGGACAAAGCTTCATACAGTACCTATATTTATAGCTACTATATGCATCAACTACTTTCGAATTATACAGCTGAATTATTATTATATAAGACTTCCCTCGACCGCAGTATTAAATAGGTGTCACATCCAAGGTTTATAATTCAGATATAAAAAACATCTGCTAAGCTAAAGCTACTTTGGATTCATCGCAGTCTGTGAAGAACAGAAAACACACATACTTAGATCCAAAAAAAAACCATGATTTGTTTTCAATTGCATCAGAGGCTTTTCCAATACCAGGACCATTACTCTTCAGATGGTGGCCAAAAAACTTTCTTAGCAGCACCCTGCTAGCGGGATGAGCTATTCCTCGTGATTTCGAAGCAGCATGACGCTCCCATAAGATACGAGTGATTAATAAGGATATCAAGCAAAAAATTAACATATCCAACACCATGTCGGATTCAGAAATAAAGTTCAGTGATATGAGCTACAATTTGATTACAGGGGGAGGGTTTATGAGATGAAATGAGTCTTCCTTTGTATTTGCGCTATGATATCATTAACAGTGTGCAAAACCGAAGCAAAGCGGTCTTACACAAAAGCAACAAGCGACCTTAGCCCCACATTGACAATAGGGATCAGGGAAGTGAAAAATCGTCGTTTCTGCACTTCCAGTATAGCAACTTACATGCAGGAAGTGTTCTGTCTTCTATTTCTACGTTCATACAGAAAGAAGCGCAATATTTATCAAAGCAGATAGTGCCACAGTCAGCTGTACATGCCATTATGTGATGATTAATAAAAAAAAACCGACCGCTGGGCCCCGGTCAGACTTCACGCGACTTAATCGTCGCGATCTAATCGCCAAGATTTCCATTCATTTTCATTTCACATTCAAAAATATCAGGCTGGAAAAGTATCACAACCGAATGCAAGTTGATCGGCATGGAATGACGTTGTAACAGTTGTCTCGTCGCGATTCAGTCGCGACGATCAAATCGCGTGAAGTCTGCCCGGGGCCTTACACTGTAAAAGCACATGTTCAAAGTGGAAAATCCAAACTTTGCTTCTCATGTTCACTACGGAGATTAGATGATCCACCACCGCAAAAATTTACCATAATAAGTGACAACCGCAAGTTTGGGGTGAGTTGCAAAGTTCCATCAATCCAAAAATTTCTTACAAAGTTCCTCTCTTTGGAAATTTGGCCAAGAACACTATCAGTGATACTTTTAATACTATTGGTGCGTACCGGTGTTACGTAATTGAAAAGATATGCGGAGATTTCGACAAATTTTATTTTGATTTTTTTATCACAGGAGGATGGATGCCTAGAACAGTTAAAACAAGACTTCCATTTGAGGAGAGACTCGCACATAAGAAAGCGCTATTCCCGCAACATAGGAGAAGTCATATCAAACAGGAAAATAATACATCCCCAAACTCATTGCTCTGAATGCATTTTCTAGATGAGGCTGTCATTGACTAAAGAACAGATAAGAACGAGAAAAGCCGAGAAAAGGCAACGTTTTGTGAGTCACTAAATGCACAACACTTATACTTTGCTTATACCCCAAAATGAGCTTCCAAAAAGGGGTGGACAATGTATGTGCAATCGATGGCGATATTGCCAAATAAACTCAGCAGAATCTTGTTCAGCAATGTTAATACCTCAAGACAAAATAACTACTGCCAATCATAGAATAGCGAAAAGGAAGTATAATAAAGACCGTGTTATCATCGCAACACATTTCGACTGGACTGCCTAATGTATATACCGGACAGGTTGAGACAGTGAATGATTGTGAGCTCTCATAGGATAGGAAAAATATGAACAGCAGACAAACTGATTTCGATGACTTTGTGAAATCATACACCAACATTCAGATCAGCGCCTTTCCACATATCTGCATGCTCCTTTGTCCCATCGTACTATAACCGTACTCATCGATACGTCGTTATATCTATCCAACTCAAAAATTATCAGTAATAGGAGTAGGATGGATTGAGGATGGATTCTGAGGTACTGCGGATAAATACCGCCACAGTGCCACTAAATAAACGGCCATAAAAGACTTCTGGAAATACACTGATTCAAGAGGTCACATAATATCACTGATGCCGCTTTGGTGTAGATTTACTCTCAAGGTATCGCTATAGTACGATAACTGATTGTGCAAGCGCTGTATTAACAAATACGTTATTTTTATCAAATTCTTCAAAAGTCTAAAACCCTTATGCCTCAAGCATATGACCGGCTCCCAGATTCGTGTGGAGGCGGGTTGCGGACTTTCCTGATTTTAGGATAAGCTTAGCGAGAGCGAGCTTAGCGAAATACAATGCTATGACGTGGCGTGGAAGTTTAACAAGTTTATCTTGAAAAACAAGTAAGTCAGCAGCCCGCCTCCACATGAATCTAGGAGCCGATGATATATACGAGCGTCATTTATAAAATCTGCAGTTTGTGCATATCGTAATAGTTTCCATCATTCGAGCGGTATGCTTGAGCACAATTGAACTTTTATCAAAGAGAAGGGCCAAGAAAAGGGCATACTGAAAGAGTGAACTGCTCAACTTCCAAAAATGCCATGCAAACTTATATGGTTATCTTGGCGGGTCGATCCGCGAGTTAACACACTTTAGACGCACAGAAATATAGAAACGACTATCAATCACTCACCGCTATGTTTTAGTGTTCTCACAAGGGAAGGATAATAACATTAGTCGGCGACTGAAAATGAGTTATATATCAGTAGACGTGCCTTTGAACGCTGATTTCAAATCTGCTTCCATTTTCTGCGGAATAAGTTTCCAAAAAAGTTGTGACCGTTTGATTTTCCAAGTTTGTCAAGGTTGGCGGCCCAAAACTGGCGAAAAGCCGGAAAGTGGAAAAGTAGTTTTGTATCAAGTATATTGTGTGCAGAAGGGATAGAACAGGTGAAAAACGCATAGGTATTGTTTTGGAGCTTTTCGCTGAATTTAAGCCACTCAATGCTTGGCGAATTTGAACATCAAAACGCTCATAACTTCTTCGGGAAACTTAGTAAAAAGGAAAGCAGATCTGGAATCAGCGTTCAAAGGCGCGTCTAGGATATACATCTCATTTTCAATCGCCGACTGATGTTGGTACCCTTCCCTTATTAGGCCTCGGACAAATTTCACGCGATTTGATCGTCGCGATTCAATCGCTACAGACAAGTGTTACGAGTTCATTGCATGCGGATCTTCTTGTACTTCGGTTGTGATAGTTAGTCTCGATTTGTCGTGTTGGAAAATTATGATAGTTAGTCTCGATTAGTCGTGTTGGAAAATTATCACAACCGAAATGCAAGAAGATCGGCATGCAATGAACTCGTAACACTTGTCTGTAGCGACTGAATCGCGACGATCAAATCGCGTGAACTCCGTCCGAGGCTTAGAAAGTTAGCTTTGTCCCTAACCTCGGATGAGAAGAAACATAAGACCAAATTCGTCCCCTCATCCAACTTTGTCGTTTTTGTGTCTTCCTAGATAAATTATGCCTTCGAAACATACACTGTAGCCTAGACCTATCATGGGATCCGTTCCATAGGCTACGTCTACTGCTTGCTGAGCTGGGAACTCTCCCCGTCTCCACTTGATGATGCAACCACCACTTCACAAACTACGAGTGAGATGCCTGCATTCTTTTTTTCATTTTTTCTAAATCACGGCTTTTGAACACTGCTCGGGGCTATGTCTTCATCTTCATGAGCGATTTTAGGTAGGATGCATGGTCGATGCCATTCATGGTGTAGTGCAGTAGATATCGTACCCTCGAGATGAAAACGACCATACACAGACAGGCTCTGACATCAGCTAGGGACACAGAGAATGTCACGACCACAAAGTTACTGCAATGAGTTTGAGGGGGGGGGGGTTACTAGCAAGTTGAAATGATTGTTTCGTTATCACATGACGGTGAGAACAGGATGCAAAGCATGCAGACCCATTATGAAATATTAGATATGCCACGAGGAAGTCTGTTCGATATCAGCTTACAGATAAAGATTAAGGAAGGATCAAGAGGGCAGACCAAATAGAGGTTTTGGTGAAAACCATGAGTTAAAAGTTGGTTGCCTCCATCAAATGCCTTCACGAAATTGTTCAACTGTTATCGATTGATTATTATTATTATTAAAAAATTTGAATGAGATATGTATCATGTAAACCCGCTGGTAACCCCAAGCGAGAAAGCCTTTGCTATACCGCCGACTTGATTGCTCTTTATAATCGAATTACTGCTTCCTGACACTGGATGCTGTCATCATTAATACTGTTACTCTTATTACTTATTTGTTCAGACATTAGAATAGGTTTTCCGAAAAATAACTGCAGCATCACTAGTTGTGGCATCCTAATTGAGCACACACATGTGAGGCGAGGACTTGCATCTATCGAAAGAGACCGGTATTCTATCTACACCCAATGCATCCACGCACGATGGATACATATCGATTCTCATAGGGCCACTTCACGTCGAAGCCTCAGTTTATGGCTGTGTTAACTTGCAGTTGGTCGTGAACAAACACTGCGCATGATGGAACAGTTGACCATGGGGGGAAACCCTCCGAGTCACGAGAGATTTGCTGTCATATGCCGATGGAATTAAATTTCAACATGGCCGGCGGCCCAATGTAGCCAAATGACGTCATGAGATGCCCAGCTAAGCGAGATAGCCCAGTTAGGAAATAAGTGAATACAAAGCATATTTGAAGAAAGAGCACGAGAATCAAAACCCACCAGCAAGCTGTTTCTTCAAAAGGAGGGAAGCCTGGGGTTCGCCCATAACTCTGACCCGAATGATAGACGGGGAACACTAGCTCTACCGTTCCTAAAACAAAGCACTTGAGAATGCGGTCCCCTCATTGTGAAAGAGGAGAGGTGTTTACGCAAAACAAAGACCGTAAACAAGATGATATGAGCTAAGATAAAGACTTCAGGGAGAACGACAATGAAATGAGCGAACAGCAGACTACATTGCTAAAACACTCCTTCAACAAATCACTTGATCACGGCCGGCTTGTTATTGAAGGGCCATCGACGACGCGGCGCGGTCCCGGAAGGAACACATCGCGCCGGCTGCTGGATTCGGGCCAGCTGCGCGTTATCGAGCTTCTGGAGTTATTGCTTTTCTCAAAACTTTCTAAATCTTGAGTTTCTATCAGTCTTGTCTACCTAGAATTTTCCAGTCTTTCCTTCATTCTTTGCTAATGTTTCATCGACTAAAGGTCCTTTTGGTAAGACCTTTATTGGCCTAAGTTAGTCGTTCCCAGTTTCTCTTGGTGAGTTTCTTTTTTATCATCTTTCCCAAAGGAGAATGGTTATCATATTTTTGAACCAGCTGTCCTACTTTATTTGAGAAATCTTTCATGAGTTTACTTCGGATTCACTGACATCTTGATGATACAAAGTGACTGGTACCTGATTTTTGTTAAATCTTCGCCCTTTCTTCCCTCTACTTTTTGAGTCACTATCCCTACTTCTTCTTACATCCACTATTTCCCTACCGTCACTTTGAGTTCTTTTCTACGTCACCATATAGTAGCTTATACTTCCTTATCGGTTTGGTACGGCTATATTTCTGCTGGGCAAACATCTTGACTAAGTCGTTCCATTCGAAGAACTGGTGTACCCAGTTTTTGTGTTGATCTAATGGTAAACGGTACAACCAGCTCTACCAAATCTCACGAGGCATATTTTCTAGCTATTAATGCTTTCATCAAATTTATGCGCAATACAGCAGGTTTACCGTTACTAAAGATGTCTTTACCGTTTTAATAAGAAATTCCAATTCACGGCAAGTATAGCTCATCGTAAGTAGAAATCATGAGAAACCAGTCTCTATGTTGCGGCAGCTGTAACCACTTTATGACGTCAAACTTAGTTTATCAAAGTCACGCATTTATTTAAACTGTTATTTCTCTCGTACCGGAAATCAATCAACTATTTGTTTCAACATTTGTGTTGAGTCCCACTAACGGGACGGTTACTTTGTTCCAGTACCGCTTTGCGAGACTACTTTAGACAGGCGATCTAGTCTGGACCATATTCCATTGAAAATGGGTAAAAAATTGTGTCCTTTATACCTCCGCGAAACAGCCGGTATCTGCGAATTCCTTTCCCGCGATTCCGGTCTATCTATTTTCATCATCATCCTCGAACACTCGACTCAAATGCACCGATCAGATCATATTACAAAATCCTCTCATGAGAGAGCGTAAGTTATTTTTTCCGTTCTGAACATGGTACAGCACATGAAAATGCATTTTCTTCCTCATTTAGCACAACGGAATAAATCGGACTGCGTGAGAACAAAGCTTTGACATTTTTAAGGTTGTATACATAATTACTCATATAACAGAAGGAAATCAGATTCCATCACCAAACGCATATTATCTTACTAGGTGGCTTTTTCGGTCCAGCGCGGACCATTGTTCACTGACTGTGGGATAGATTTTGTAGGTTGTCAGCAAGTTTACTGCACCGCGAGTCCCCCTCCCACTTCCATGTTATGGATGACTTACCCTTGGACATCCACTTCGATACCGCATCCTCGTGATCCTGAGGTGGGAATGAGATGTGCCGACCTTGTTTACATGAGTATGGGAAAATGCTTGATTGAAACTTGATAAGCCTTCATTTCCTCATAAAAACGTAAACAACTCAATAAGTCGATAGAGGATTCAACGAATACCGTAAAAAGTAGCTTATCACCTGCGCATGGGTCAAAAACGTGTGTGCAAAGTTTCGGCTCATTTAGTTAGGCGGCGTTTCTATAATGCACCTACCCTCCAAACTGACAATTGTGCATATGAAGCTCTAATCAGTATAGTCTGATAGTTCGGTGAAATAAAAAATTTCGTTCCTTTTTTACTCAAGAAACCCGCTTGTATTATTTCATTCAGGTGTTGCGAATGCTGCTGCCACTGTGTCTTTTCTAAAGCATTTAAACATCCTTATGTGCAGTTGTTAAGCCTTGACCAGATTGTTACAACTCTTTTATTAGGCTTACGTGGTGGTCTGCAGTCCTCACTCGGCAGGTTTAAGGCTCTGAAGAAGGCGAATCAGCCGAAACGTAAGCCTAATAAAAGAGTTGTAACAATCTTGGTCAAGGGTTAACAACTGCACATAAGGATTCATCACCATGCCAAGATTCATTCAAAGCCGAACATGGGATATCATTTAAACATCGTTAAATTTTCCGTTTTTTTATACCGTAAGTTTAATTGTGGCATTTTTTCGAAGCGGCATATTTCATTCCGACTTTGATCTTTGCTTTGTTTCCTAAGCACATAGTCGATTCCTCTTTGCGCAAGTGAGCGACACACTTTTCAGCACCGGATTTGCCCTTTGTTTGCTCAAGTTACCCCTTCTCGACCGGACTTTTGACTTCAATCTCTTCTTTTCAGGAAAAACCTAGCCATGCGTTCATTTTTCGCTCACTCAAAATGCTGAAATTAATCGTCTTCAGTTAGATGACTAGTGCTTTTGCGCGTTGCATATATAGTTCGCCGTGACATTTTTGCTGTCATCTGCTTTTTTTTCGTACAATTTTTCTTCTTGCCTCTTCCTCTGTCTTTTGCACTTGGTTAAAAGAGTTCTCATGAGGAAAGGTCAAAGTTGGGGTCTGTCTGAACTTTTATCCATTGTTTGTGCTACAACAGTAGCCGTGTGAAGGTGGACACGAAGTGCATCTAAATCTTTCGTGCCCTGTTGAAGTCACATCGCTAGCAGCTGTGTTCATATATATTATACGCTAAATCCAATGAACGATAGGTTTGCCTAGCTTGCTTCAGTTTTGGGCAGTTTGGAATGGTTTTGCCTTACAAGGTCCCCAGGAATTCTTTCCTGTCCATGATCCCACTTACTTTGAGCTATTCATGCCACCTGATATCATTGTTTGCCCCGCTTATGTTCAGAGTTCTGAGCACGATCAAGCAACTTTTCATTGACCTGATCTAAGCTTACACTACATTTCTCACACGTTCACGTGTTTTAAAGCCCGTTTCTATATCTATGTATAGATAAAACTCAATCTTTGTAAATTTGTTCGTATGTAAGTATGTGGCTTATAGACTCCTTTGTTTGTGAACCGATGAGGCTGGAAGTTGCTCCCCTATAAATGAGGCCAGGCGCTGAAGATAAGCTTGCGACAATTCACTGGGTTCTTCTATCGATTTATTGATTTGTTTACTAACATCTAGGAAAATGAAAGCTATATCATTCATTTCTCCAAGTTAAGTAGTAAGGGGCGGTATAGATCATCTACATTTTGCGGTGAGGAGGATGCGGTGTTACGAAGCGAGCCTGTCAAGAAAGACAAATTCACTACGAATACTACACGTGTGCTGGAAGAACTGACTTGGAACTAAAGCAGGAGAGGAAGAGAAAATATGATCTGAAGGAAATGGAGGAATGGTAAGCAAACATCTTGAAGCAGACGGGCCATTTTGGACCCTTGGCCTGGGCGGGACCGGTGACCGCAGCTAGTACTTTGATATAAATATGACGGTTTCTAGAAATGGAATTGGAAAAAATGGAAAAAATTTTTTGACCAGATATAGCTTACGCACTACGGTTGCAGTAGATACTCTAGATCAGTGCCGTTGTCATAGCATGCTTGTACAATGTCGTAGCCTCAGGTTTTCTAGTAAGTTTGGCTGTTTTATGGTAGAAATACGATTTCCAAACTACCGCTTATCTGAGCTTACTATGTATCACAAGTTTGCTCAGTGCCTCAAAAATTCCCTCAGCTTTTCATGATAAGATGCGACTACACAAAGTTTCGCATGCTTGTACAATGTCGTAGCGTCGAACTGATGCTAATCAACCAGAAAATCAGCTTATGGTTGATTGAGTTTTTTTGTTCATTGCAGAAAGCTGAGATTCGTTGTGCGTGTTCTCTAACACGTTGACAGTGATTATGATAGCCTGAATCTCATGCATTTCTCTATTTTCATTTCTTTTTTCATCCTTTTTTTATTGTTTTACCACGTGACTAAGTTAATTGCACCGTTACGACTAATCAGGGGAGGATACCAACATAGGTTGGCGATTGAAGACAATATGTGTACTACTAAACACGCCTCTAAACGCGGATTCTAAATCTGCTTTCCTTTTTTGCGGAACAACTTCCGAAAGAAGTTATGAGCGTATGAATGTCAAAAATTGTCAAATTAACCGGCCAAAATTTAGCGAAAAATTGTACAAAACAACTGAAGGATGGGTAGTCAGATTTGCATAAGTATATTGCTTGCAAGGAAGGAAAAAAGGGATGCAAATCCGCCTAGGTGTTGTTTAGAGCTTTTCGCCAATTTTAAGCCACTTAATGCTTGATAATTTTGGACATTCAAACGCTCTTACTTCCTTTCGGAGAGTGTTCCGCAAAAAAGAAACGCAGATTTAGAATCAGCGTTTAGAGGCGCGCCTAGTGATGTACATTTTGTCTTCATTCGCCAATTTATGTTGTTATCCTTTCCTTGTAAGAAAAAAAGTTTCCATAGAATAGCTTTTAAAGTTTCAAAAACCGTGGTCTCTATCTCCTACCATTTCGGTATAATCTTGTCGTTCGGTAACATTAGCAAGAAGTCATTTTGATACTCGTAAGTACAGTACTTTCTCACTTCCTTCCAAATCAGATTCTCACCTTCGGTCATTCCTTGGATAAGTTCTTCCGATATGACACATGTAATCGTCTCAGATGTCAACTTACCGTGCCAAATTTATTGCTGTACAAAGTGTTTCTTCCTTCTCGTGAGCGAAAAGGAAGAAACACTTTGTACCATAACTTTGCCACGGTAAGTCCAGAAATTACTAGTGACAGTAAGGAGAAGAGATGACCGGCAAATTTCCTGGAC